TTATTATTATTACAGATTTCCTAGATGACATCCTGCCTTACTGGATAAATGGTGTCGTGCTATGAAAAGAGCTACAAGTACAGGAGAGTTATGGATGCCATCCAGGTATCAGAGGCTGTGCAGCCTGCACTTCCAACAAAGCTGCTTTGACACTACAGGGCAGACAAAGCGATTAAGAGATGACGTCATACCCAGCATTTTTAATTTTCCAGAAGACTCACAGGTAGATACTGCACTGCTCTTGACTCCTTTTTTTCCTTTCAGTTCTGTCTATTTAGCTGATACTTAAAGGAGAACTATGGGGTTAAGGCTTTTCCCCATAGTTCTCCTTAGGGTAACGGAAGGACACAAACTAGCGTCCTCCCATCACCCTAGGCTCAGTATACCGCGAGCTGCAGCTCACGGTATACTGAGACGTCGCAGCTGAAGCGGATCCTGACAATTGTGCCGGGATCCGCCCAGCTGCGTGACTGACAGCTGGCTCTGCCTATCTAGAGGCAGAGCCAGCTGTAACCACCCCCTCCCCCCTCCGTTCCACCAGTCAGCGCTGGCGGAGCGGGGAGGGGGGAATCCAGCCCCTCCCCTGTCACGGCAGAGAGCCGTGACAGGATCGAGAGGTGAGCGAACGCCGCTATGTGTTTGCTCACCTCCCGATCTACTGAGCCGACCTGTGACAGTATCATTGTCGCAAGTCGGCTAGAACTATGAGGTGAGTGAAAAGCACTCGCCTCATAGTTCTCCTTTTAATATTTTGACTTTCCTGAATACTTCAAAAAGGATGGCTATTTTGGTTAACTTCTCTTCATAGTCTTGCTCATTTTTATCCAGCACTGGCATTGTGTTTACTAGCTCCAGCACTTGCATGCTGTCATACTCGTGGGCTCTATAGCCAATCTGTAGACAAAAGAGATGAGTCAAGATTTGCCATTATTTCTCCAGTCATCTTCCAGGACAGCAGCATGGGAGATGATTGGTTCCTCCCTCTACAGGAAACACAATTAGAACCCCTCCCCCTCATCCCTCAGTTGAGATTAAAGTAGACTACCTCCACCACTGCACGACGGAAACAACCAGAAAGGAGTTCATAGACCATCTAGATCAAAGGTGCCAGATGGAAATAAAGAGACTATATCTTGTGTTTTTAAAGAAGAAGGATCACAGGTTCCTCCTTCATTTAAGGCACATTCTGTCAGATTTTGTAAACTCTTGAAGGGCAGGAGCTTCAGTGGAGCAAATCTGCAGAACGGCTATTGGGTCTAGTCAGGTTACCTTCGTCTATCTTGGTAAGTGAAGGTTTTCTTGCAATAAGACCTAGTGTTCAGCAGTTAGGTTCTAATGGTCCCACCCTGAGGTAGGCTTATTTATTTCTTGCTTCTCCACTCTGCACACTGTCCTGGATGATGATTGGGGAAATTCCCAGTTAGACTTAGTGCTAATAGTGTTTCTGGGAATCTTACAGGACAGCAAGCCTACTTCCTACCTGTTTCTTTTGGTTGTTTTCCTGGTGGCTGTTTCCATCATGCACTGGTGGAGGTAGTCAACTTCAATCTTAACTGTGGGACGAGGGTTTTTTTTTTGTATAATCTTTATTTTTCTCGTTTCACAAAAAATCACATTTACACAGGAAACATTCAAGGGAGTAAACGGGGTCCAACATAGACCCTGACAGCAAAAGATAAAAATATAAAATAAAATAGAATTAATTAAAATAAGGAGAAAAAAAAAAAAAACCCACACAAGGGGGGGTCACAAATACACAATGACATACATAACCACAATGTAACACAATAAGTGGGTATGTCACCCGGCCTCATCGTGTCCCATCTCATAGGCTCGATTCCCAGTGATGATGATGATGGCTCCATCCCCACTATGTGTGTTAGTTTGTCGTGCGTCTACCTATCTCCGAGTATCCAAAGTAGTACACACTGATATCCAGTGATACCATGCAGTTCGTGAAGTGAAACCCTCCCAGAAGGCCAAGAGTCGGGGGGCAACTTGTCAAGCTAGCGCCTGAGTGCCCTCGCGAGATCACTCGTCATGGTGGGTGAGATACATAATGCAGCCATGTTGCCCATTTAGAGTAGAAGCGGTCGTATTTGTTGCTGCTCCTCGCCACCCATTCCTCTGCCTCCTGGATTTGCATGACCTGTGCCACCCATTCAGATCTCCCCGGAACCCTGGCTTGCTTCCAGTATCTGGGGACGA